TGGGGGAGGAAAGGAGGAGGTGTATTCGTTAATGAGGGAGTTAATGAGATGCCAGTCCCCTCACAGATACTATCATAGGTTCCTATGATAGCAATTCTGGATGGCACACTTCCTGGCTAAAACTATGGAGAAGAGGGCATTAAGATATTCAGGAAAGGAACACACAAGGACGTTACGACATTTTGAGGCACTTCGGTCCTCAAATAAAACAAAGTTAAGGGGTTTCTGGTCTGAACGTGGAAAATTACATAATGATAAAGTAATTTTCAATTCAAGCTTGTCGAAAGAAAAAGTGACAGGGCAGCTCATTACCCCCATTTCTGATTATTTTACTTGGAAGTCTTAAGTGCAACGGTATCGAGTCCGTCGGCGACCTCTTTTGAATGTTTCATTTATTTCTAAGTTCTTCCATCGCAGCCCAGAGAAGAAGCTCGAGTTAAGGTAGATGCAGCAATTTAGGAACAAACCACACTTCAGAACACAAAGCAGGGCCAGGTCACCTCACTGAATGCAGGACAAGCAGCACATTCTCTTCGTACCGGGAACATTTCTGGTAGCCTGAATTCAATTAGAGTGGAATGACCCTCTGCTTCTTCCTTTATTTTTTTAGCGATTGGGAAACGGAATTAAAAGCGACCAATGACAAAGCTTAAGAGACGGCCAGTACACTACTTAGTCTACCTCAGTAGAATTTTAAACCAGGGAGCGAAACCTGACTGAAAGTGACATTTCCAAGCTGAACATAAGGGACAAAATCAAACAAGCGAACCAAAACTGATACTTTCAGACGCGATGAACGCAATGAAAACCGCCCCCTGTCGCTACACTACATTCTGAGAGCCCAAGGCGCGGTTTTCTGTCTGCAGAATACGTAGCGCGTTATTTTACTGTGCGACAAGAACAAATTGTCACGTTTAATGCAAGAGCCACCCATAGAGATAACTACCTTTTCAATCTTAAAACAGCATAACGCCGCTCAGAGATCATCTGCCACTACTGCGTTAACAAAACGCTCTTAAATATTCCCCTTTTCCAGTTGCGACACACATACAGATCTCTCCTTGGTGAAGAAGTTTTATCAGCACCTTGGTAAACAATTAATAACACATCCAGCTGAAAAGGGCATCATATAGCGAAAAAACACAAAACCAAGGTCGCATTGCTTTCCTCGTAGTCCGCTTAATGTTAGCATGAACTTTATCTTTGGCAAACAAGAACAAGAAACCCCCTCTCTCAGCCTGCTACACAATACTGTTTATGCATGAATCAAGACAAAGCACAAATTTAACAAGCAAAAACAATAAAAACAATATATAAGGCCATGTCACCATCTGGGAAATCCACTTAGCCTGTAAAAAAGCACAGGTGCAAGCCTTTGATGACACACAGCAATAACACACCTGGTTCTGACACGCTGATGAAAAAAAAAAGATAAAGATAACAGGAAGCGTTTTGCACTTTAGGTTTTCAAATTAGCCATCCAACCTGTACGTCTAACGATTAAACCGGTTTGTCACCGGTCTTCACCACGGCGCTGATACACACAGCACATTTTCTGTTAGAATTGAAGTCAAAAGGCTGTCGAGGTGCGAAAGAAAACATAACTCTCTCAGCCTTCACTGCACAGTTGAGTGACAGAGAGTAAGAACCACACACAAGACATAAAAAAAATCTCGATATAAAACATGGAAGCCATCCTCCAGTGCAGCGGTTTGCAGCCCACTGATCACAACCTACATTTAGATATATACTTTTTATGATACAGCCAGTAATTACGACAATTTTCTCCAGGCTCCAAAAATTAAATTACAAAACAAGTGGTAAATAATGAGTTGCAAATCTGGAGATGCATTATGTAAGAAAACAATGAACAATTCCAGCAACTGCCAAAAATATCAACGAGCGTGTATTTTATTGAAAATCAAACACATTCTGAACAAACCCAAAACTTATAGAAAGTAACTTCTACTAAGTCTATTCCTATTTTGTTTTTCTATTTGCGGCTGTTGATGGTCCATGCATGAGGTAACTGCTTTAAATCCTCGCAAACGGATGAAAAAAAAAAAAAACTACCACACCATACAGTATAGCGACTGTTTGTGAACTGCTTTACCACGCTAAAACATGCCTGCTTCGAGGAAAAAAAAACCAACACATCAGGCTCCTTTTTTTCCGGAACAAAACGTGTCAGAAAATCTCAAAATTATACGTTTCAAGAGATTTTGCATTGTTGTTATTATTATTATTAATAATCCGTTACTATCTAGAATGGGTGTTGCGTTTTATCGCCTTCCTGGTGTCCTCCTTCCAGTGTGTCAGTCGCTGGCGGGTGTGGACAACCCACAGCTGGAAGGTTTTTTCCGGCTTCAGGCTCGGTTGAGTGCCTGCCCGTTCTGAACATTAAGTTAACATGAAGGCTCTCCACCCGCGTTAAAACTCATCGAGCTTGTGGGTGACGCGAAGCTTTTGCAGCCAGGTGCTTCTGCTTTTGACACACACCACGCGCATAGTATTACTATTTTTTAGGAGTCAAATGATCTGTCAAACAAAAAAAAAAAGTTATATTTCAATTTTCAAGCACATCTTAGTGACGCTGTTGGATGCCAAAAAAAAAAAAACCCCGTTGAACCCCGAACCCACGCGCGGTTTTTAGCTCCGTGCATTCAATCCACGACGTCAGCAGTGGCATAAACATACTTTTTTTGTTTTGGCTGTTTTTATTACAGTTTTTTTTTTTAAAACGCTACTTTTCAGTGACATTCACAAATGCAAGCTTAAAAGGTGCACCCGAGTTCCGTTTATTTCACATTTCGCCCGGACCGTGCAAGACCGAGTATAGGATGCAAAGCAACTGCAGTTTTAGTTCCGTGCACCTTCGGATCCGTCTTTAACTCCGGCTCCCTGGGATCATTTCCCACTGCCGGACTAGATCACTCGATCACCACTGGGCTCAACACCCTAGTATGCCGTTTGCAATGCGCCCTGCACACCGACAGCATGGGGGTGGGGGGAGACAGGTGCCCCCAGTGGTTTAATAGGCTGCATGACAGAACCAGGAGGCGCCCACTCGATTCAGATCGTTTAGTCATCATACATAAACAGGAATGACTACACAACCACTCACTTTCGCAGCCTTCCGCCACCCTCTCCATTTTGTCTCCGCTTCCGACTGGTCCCTCCCCTTTCCCCACAAACCAACCAAGCCCGCCTGGCGGTGACGTCACCAAGAGCCCGGACGCCATCACCCCCCCTCGTCCAATCGCACTCGAAGGGCCCGCCTCCCCCGACCTACACCGGCCAATCAGAACGGAGAACGGAACAACTAGAAACAGCTGACCCTGTAAAAACAAGCTAGTGTGAGAAGGGGCAGCGCAAGCGGTTCTTTGTTTTTTTTAAAAAAAAAAAACTGCACGCATTCCCAGCACTCGGCCGGCTATTCAAGCGGGCATAACCGCTTGGCCTCAAAATGCAAAGTGATACAGCCACACGGTTTGCTGTGTAGAGCTCCAGGACTGCCTGGAAACCAGCTCGGTGTGGCCTGGGGAATTAATGGGGGGGTGTGATGAGCGAAGTTACTGGGCACGGCCCCCTTTGTGTCGAACTGACATGTACAGTGCAGAGGAAAATTCTCATTTCCAGAAAAAAGGTCCCCACAAAAAAAACAGACAGACAGGGGAAAAAAAAACTATAAGAACTTCTGTTGTACTGCTTCTGTTTACATGCCTGAAGATGGTTTCAACCCCTACAGCAATGCGTATTAAAAAAAAAGTATTTCCCCCCCTTGTTTTTCAGGAGTAAATTGAATACTGCAAGTCTCGTCTGCAACACTGTCATGTTTTGTATCTCCAATTATCTATTTGCAACTCGAATTATCTATCGTTTTTGATGTAAGCTAGTTGATAAAGTCGTGTGGCAGAGTAGTTCGATATACATTGAATACAGTTTTCCTATTAAATTCAAAACAATATCAGGAGAAGGTTATAAATGATTGACCGGCACGGCGTGAGTTGACGAATTGCGCAGGGGAGCTAGCAAGAAAGGCCGTATGGTAAAATAACTCTTTTTATTTTGTACAGATAATATGATGTGTTGTTATTGCAAAATTGCCTTATTTTCTTGAGATATGTTCTGGATTCTAAGAGGCTTAAATTCTCAAGATGATACAGTTTAGTCCGCGATTTGTTGGTAAGTAAACAATCCTTCAGCACACCCCGACCTCGGAAGCCGTCGTGTGGATCTCACTCTTGATTTGCACTGAATGCTCAAAGTGCAGTTTCAGGCAGGCTGCTGCAGTTAAGAGTGGTAGTAGTTACCCGAAATATGACAAAGACGGAGAACAAGACACCAACATTTTTGTGTGAACTGAATGAAGGTAAATACTAGGACACCAAACTGTTTTTTTTTCTTTCTGGATTGAGCTGTTGGTAGCTTGCATTATGAAATCATAAAGGTCACAACCGAAAGAGGCCATTTGGCATTAAGTTATGAAACTCGGAACAGAGGAGCCGCATTCAGAGTTACTTTATCAGCAATATCAATCAATGTAATCCTGGCCTGAAGGAACCAAGACCATGAAAACTAAAAGAATGAAATAACTTAAGCCCAGTTAATAGAAATAATTTAATTTTTAATACTGGTATTAGCACATTGAACAGCTAGCTAAAATATTACAGGCACTGTGTAATTCGCTACAAATGAAAAGTGTAGACTGACCACAGAGTTCATAAGTCCATTTTAATATTTTTTTTGTTATTCCAAAGTCATCTGCACTGAGTTAAATATATCTGCTTTTGTGGGGTACATCTGACATGTTTCCTTTACCTAGACAGGTTAGACCTTTATAGTAGATTAGAGGGAAGGAAAATAAAACCCAACTAGTTTAGAATGCAATCTACTTCAGAATGCTAGCTTCAATTAAAGTTTGTATTTCAGCATGTAAACAGACATTAGGGTCTCACTGCTATCAAGCCATTTCCACTTTTAAATTGCTTATCAAAACTTTAGTTTTGCTGTCTTACCTTGTCGCCTTCTTCAGTGCAGGCATGCTCTTGGTGGGCAGGTTGAGCAACAATTCCACCTATTGGGGCAAAAAAAGAAATTGTTTTTTTAATTTCTTCAAACATATCCTGTAGCTAAAAGTTTAATTGAGTCTGAGTGGTAATAATCTTAGACACCCACTGTTACTTCAGATAAAACAAATATATCTTCACACAATCCTGGTCTGTGAAACCAGCCCAACACACAACCAACTGTATTTAAACATGGCAGTTTGTCACTGTGTTGTAAATAGTACTGTATGCGAGTCTCACAGCTTCCTTCTGTCCAATAAAACAAAAGCAAATCCTGGGACAGCCAGTTTCTTCCTCAGTGTAAGCAGCATAAATCAATTACAGGGAAGGAACAGATTCATTCGAAAGATCAGAGATTAGCATGGACGGAACTCATAAAGTCTGCACTATCAAATGTTATCAGGTACTGTAAAATCTAATTTAAGGACTATAAAGTAGTAAAATAATGTATTATTTTCATTTTGGGAGAATAAGGTAATTAATTTATCTTTTGGGCAAATGAAAACAGAGTAAACCTTAATCCTCCAATGAGACCTTTCCTCTGTTGCTTTGAGTTTGCTGTGAGGCTCAGCAACTAAAATTATTCTTCACGGGCAGAGGCAATGTTTTTACACACTACAATGCGCCTGCCACTTTTCACTTCTGTTCACTTTGAAGCTGGAAGTATCACTAGGTCCTTGTTAATATAAATACCTTTAATTGTTAATAGGAGAGTGAAGGATTTGGCTGGGATTCGATGAGATATCAGGAGGGCTTTTCTAAATACAGCATATTGATTTGCTTTACACTGCATTCATCTCCGCTGGAAAAGGTCTGAACCCATCCATTCTCTCTCAAATTTGAATAATAAAGCCAAGTGCCATTTTAACTGAAACATTACTGCGGTGGGCCTAGCATCAGATTAGGCATTTATTCATTATTCGTTTAAAACACAGCAAAAAGCTTTATATTGAAAAGAATGACCAATACTGTAACTGTTCACTACACGTACAATTTGTGTTTATTTTGTCACTTTCTACCCCCCTTTCCTTTTACTGCCTCTTTATCAGCAGAAACTGTTGCTTTTCAACTACTCACATACCAAAACGTGTGAAAAACACAACAAATGCTGGTGGTTCCGATTCACTGTAAGGTCAAGATAGCCCAAACACTATACAAGAACTACTGGCGAAGGCAGAACTAAACATGATACTGTAAAATCCGTAAAATTAGAAGAAGGTAAAAAAAAGCAACTTAATTAAAAAAAAACAATTACCATTGGATTTCAAATTGGACACAGAGTACATTTTAAAAAATGACTTTGTTGTAAGTTTCCTAATGTCGCTTATAGTCCACGAGTTAAAATGTCAGTGAACTTTATCATTAACGTTTTGATACACACTTGCTAGTCATAATTTGCGGTGACAACATCCGCCCTTTAAAAATTTGTCAAGAACAAATTAGCACAGAAAACAAATACTCTACGCACGATGCTGGTTTCTCAGAACCAGTTATGTTTTCTTATGAACAACGTCACACTTCCAATATTTCCACAGGGATACCTCTCCCCATGTCCCCAAAGAAACCCCACAGTCAGATCAGAAGCAATGACATCACCGAGTACCAGGGCTTTGACTGCGTCTGCAGCAACCAGACATCCAGCTGGACTTCTGAATCGCTCTTCTAAAGAAAAAAAAATACATATTTCTTCATGCCGAAAGCGAGAAAATGAAAAATGTTGAGCTCTCGATAATGTTTAGCTTACGAACAAGATGTTCTATCGAATGATCAACAACAACAAAAAAAGTTCCCAACCTTGGAATATATTTTGTTGCAAACATCCAATAGCAGGTGCTGCTGCCGCTAAAACTCAACTATTGTTTTTTGTGGGAAGGGGGGGCCAAAACCAACATTTGTAGACGCAGGTGAAACTTCAGCCGCGGCTCGTTCAAGACAAAATACGAGACTACGTCGATTTTAGTACACAGTACACTTCACATCGAATTATATTTAATCTAAAAAAATGTTGCGTACAATGGATCATCATTCCTTCCTCTGTTGCACCCTGTATGGCCACCGCTAAGTCGTCCCCGCATTATCCAACCAGTTCGGCAGAATGAACAAGCGAATTGTTGTTTTCGTGGTCCGAAAACGTCCTTCCTTTTCAAACCCGTCAAACATTCAGTTTGTCTTTGCTTAGCTTGTGGTTTATGTTTACGTACCGGTATTGACATATTCCCCAAAGTTACGTTTTGAACCAGGAGTGTAACGCCACATATATATATAGTATTCGCAGTTTACTGAAGCCGCAATAATAAAAAAAAAAACAGCAGCGCTTAACTGAACCCTTCATTTGCCTGCAGCCCGGAGTTCAAACCAGCGCAGAGCTCAAGTCCTAACTTAGAAAATAATTTTCAAAGACTTGTTCATCTTTGATATAGAAATTACTGGCTGGGGGACTGGCAAGCAGCAATGAATGACTTAGTCTCTTGGTTGTCTCTTCCCTTCATCAATCCCTTTTTTTTTTACATAGGAACGGAAAAGCCCAGACACAAGAGTCATTTAGTTCAGTCCCCTGGAGCCAATTTCAAATTGCACCCAGTGTAGCAGTACAAAACAGAAGCATTGGGTCCGCTATACACTCCACTGCTGAGATAACCCAAAACGATATCCCCAGCCCCTTTAAAGTGTCCACCAGATTTGTCCAAATGCCCATTAACCCAGCACTGGGGAAATGTTGCTCTACACAGGACAGCTGGGTTAACCCTTTAGTTTCAGAAACATAACCCAAACAGCAACTAACAACCCCACAGCCATTTCAGTATTGTTTCTCCCCTTTCCAATATTTGATTAAGTAGAAGTTGCCAGAATGAGCCGATTGTGAACCTGTACCATCCTCTAATTTTGCACCAACGGAGGTTATTCGTCAAGCCAAATGCAGTAGGATTAGACCTCCGGCCTTTCCGACTGGTTTGGAAATAAATGGGAAAATGTAAATGTCACATTCTCAAAAAAGGAAGCAAACTCCAATAAGCGTCTTGCAAGTAAAATTAAAATGATTATATTTTGATTTTGGTGTTTCAAAGGTTACCATGGAATCGGAGCCAGTTAAAGCAGCATTTTACATTTTTAGACTGACTACGGGTCGACTTCAGCTGATCAATTACTGAGAAAACGCAGTATGTACTGTGCTGTCTGTACCTCCCCTTCTTATTTGCTTCAGCACACCAGATTCTGCCATCAGCTGAAAAGCAGCAGTTCTGTACAAAGTCTAAAACATGCTCTCAATGTGCTCCTGAGCTCCCCTTTAATCATTATTTTATGGAGGGATGTGTCCTGTTCTTTAACACTGCAGAGCTTGTATTCTTACTGTGAATCCTAATCCTTCTGGCACGTCACGCAGGAGTAAATAAACCCTTACGTTTTGATAAAGAAAAACATCTGGATGTGATGAGTCCTGTTTCTTTATAGTTTCCACCGAACTGCCATTCGTGTAATAAGATACCTGCAAAACTATAGGTATGCGTGGACGTCCTCAGCAGTATTCTCCCATTCCAGGTCTTCTCGGATATTTCCTATCCACTGCTAGGAAGAAAAAGGCAAAGCAGTCTGGCAACTGCTTGTGGGAGAAGCTGTTATTAATTAACACCTTCTCCTTTTGTAGTCCTGGCAAGTGAGAGGAATGGGTAATACAGAGAGAAGTGGGGTATTCATTCCCTCCCAGTGATATAAAAATGGCTTTGTGAAACAAGTCAGACTGTGGTTCTCTCGCCCTTCCCCGCTGTCATTCATAAACACAAGTCCTGATGGCTTCTAACATGGAATCAATTATTCATCACGGGGTCATTCCAGGGGTCAGGACGCTATTTAGTTTGGTTCCCTCATTCCTTCTGCCAAACAGTCGGCCTGGGCCGCTGAAAATATCGTGCCGTATAAGAATCCGGAGTAAAAGATGGAAAACCGACGGCTCACGGGTCTAGCGCATGAACCACCGCTCCGTTTAAATACCGACTGCTGTAGCAGATGTTAGCTGGTGTTGAGACAGAACGGGGAGCTGCCTTCAATACAGAACTGAGGGCGGGAGAGTGTCTCAGCTGTGTGCAGATAAGCGGTTTCGTATCATTGCAGAACAACAGCCCCTCACCCCAGTCTCTCCAAACACATACCCCCCCCCCCAGACAAATGGGGATTTTCAATCCAAGCTCTGGGCGTACTTAACACAAGCCCGTGCTCCGTGTGCCAGTATCTGCTCTTTGATACAGTCAATAACACTTGGGTATCATTCTCCTCACATGGCTCCTGTGCAATTGGAATCACTGGCTGATTCCAACATCCAAATGTTTTGGCAGTGTGCATGTCAAATACCTCACAGTGAAAGACTGCTTCACTGTATTAGCGAGGAACACTTTTTGAAATTAAGTGACCAGAAAGCCAACAAGTCTGGCTTGTTAATAAAGGGAAACCAAACACTGCAAGGTACGTCATTTTCTGAACAACTGACATTTACTTCCCCTCCATCAAAAGCCATCAAAGGTCTGATTTACATATATGGCTTGAAAACTGTCTCCTTTCCCCCCTCTCCATCTTCCATCCAGCTGTTTTCTGATTGCTTTATACAATATAAGGTTGCAAAGTTGCTGGGCAAGCAGTGGGCAGGATACAAACATGGGGGGGACATCCAAACTCCAGACACACAGCAGCCCCCCAGGACTCCAGTGCTGCCAGCTAGCAGTGCCAAATGCCACCCTTGGTTCCAGCTTTTTGGCTTCGATTTGCTGCTGGTACAGCGCCACCAACGCCCGTAAGGTTTCCAGTCCACCTTTGGTAACCCGATCTCGCCTGCATCTCTCGCATCTTTAAAGACACAGGCCCCTGCTGGGCTGCTGGGCTAACCAGTCTGAGCTGAGGAGGAAGCCCTCTATTGTGCAAGAGCCTGAACAGGAGGCGTGGAAGGCCGGCGATCCAGAGGAATGATCTGGCTGGCCTTGAGTGAACTCGCTTTCACTCGGGCCCAGGCTGTCCGCCTCGA